ATATGAATGAGAGACTGATTATGATGTAGCTGTAAAATTGATCAATGTGACTGATAATATTTTAAAAAGTAATAATGATGCTTGTTTATAACTTATTAACTTATTAATTTTAATGCTTACTTTATCATATCAGAATGTGATGAATATAAACCATAACATGATTAATATAGAATTATCTCTATATATGAAAATATTAATATGAAACTAATTTACATCAGATCTACTATAGAACTAAAGAATTACAGTACTATTAGAAGCATTCTAAAAAAAGCTTAAGGTGAAAAAATCACATCTTACATCTTCAAAATTAATTAATTCCTTAATTTTTTTCTTTTTTCCTAATAGATATTCAAAAATTCCTATCATTAATACTATTATTATTCCTTTCAAAATGTAAAATAAATAATTGGTTGGGTTGGTTGATTATAATTATTCTTGCTTTTTCTTAGCAATTATTTGTTTAAGTTCAGAATAGGATAAAGGGATTTTATTATTGCTTTTTAAATAATTAAATATTTATTATAATTTAGCTTTATTATTATTATTATAATATTCAACTACTAGTTTATTATTACTATCAAGAATAACATTTTTTATCTCATTTTGAATAAAAAATTATTTAATTGTTCTAAATCAGAAAGAGAAAAGGCTTTTTGCTTATCTTTATTAAACTCATAAATATTTTTATCTTTATTAATATTCTTTGGTATTGATGATCCTTGAGGAGTAGAAAGAGGTGTTTCTTTTTCACTTAGAGAATCACTATCTTTTTCTAAGGAAGAAACTTCTTCTCTTTTTTTTTTAGATTAGATTTTCCTTCTATATTAAACTTTCTTCTTAATTCATCCATAAACTCTCTTTTTTTTTGTAATCTTATTTCTTCATATTTTGTTTTGCTAGTTTAACTAACTTTTCTTTTAACTTTTCAGATACTCCTTTTAACTTTTTCTTAACTAATTTGAGAATATCTTCAAGAGAATAATCATTAGGATTAGCAAGTATTTTTATCACTCAGCTAGTATTTTGCAATGCTAAGACATCAATTTTTTTCATAAAAAAAACTTTTTCATTATTACCATCTTTATCTTTGACAACTTTTCTTTCTTCAATAAACACTTTTTCTATTTTTGGCATAGTTTTTCAATCAGGAACATTTTTATTATCCTTATAGTAGACAAGATTTCTAAGACTTTTTATGCTATTAGTATCAAACAGAGTAGGTAATAAAAATATTTTTTTTTGTTACTATGTATTACAAATTACCTACTAAAATCCAAAAATTCTAAACTAGGATAATTTTTAATTTCAAGTCGATTAAGACCATATTCTTTAGTAGAAACAAAACTGAGTTTAAGTAAATTAATAAGATTTAATTTATTCAGATCATTATTTTCTACACAATTCAAATTCTCTAGTACTTTACAACTATCAACATTCAATGTTTTTAGTAAATTGTCAAAATCAATAAAAGCATTAGCATAATATAAATCTTTTAAGTTTTTTAGTCCACTACAATCCAATTTTTTCAAATTATTATAATAATAAAATAAGTTCTCTAATCCTGTTAAATGCTTTACTTCTAGTTCTTTAATTTGATTTTTATAGCAGTAAATATGCTTTAATTTTTTATTATTAGTCAAATTTAAACTACTTAAAATATTTAAATCAATATTTAAATATTCTAAATCAGCAAGATTAGTTAAATCAAGTCCAAGGCTGTTTAGATTATTGGAAGCCAAATTTAAAATATGTATTTGCTCTGCCAATTTTAAAAATCCTAAGTCACAATGATTTAGTGATGGCAAATGACTAGGTCATTTGATAATTTTGAATGATCTCTGAATGACCAGCGAATGACCTAGTCATTTGAAGTCATTTGTCATTTGGTCATTTAAATGTAATATAGGTCAAAATATATATGCTGGCCAGAATTAAAATTTATATCACATGAAATATTTATGAAAACATTCAAATCATTAAATTACATTAATTATTTTAGCCAGAATTATTGAGATCACATGTTATAATTTTTAAATGACAAGGTTATTTATCATTTAATATTGGAATGATCCAAATGACACATGACCAGTCATTTGAGTCATTTGAGGTCATATGGATCACTTGCCATCACTGCAATGATTAGTATATAATACTTTTAATTTCTTACATGCACTAACATTTAAAAAATCAATTCCTTTTTATTTGATAATTATTCGAACAATCCAAATATTTCAATTTCTTATACTCATACAAATCCAAATCATTTAGTTCATTATCACTAAAATTTAAACTTTTTAAATTAGTAAATCCTTCTAGTGATAAATCCCTTTATAAATCTAAAAAACTAAGATCTAGTTTCTTCACTTCACTTCTTTTATCAAGAGGATACTTAACATCTAGTCAAGTTTAAGTATCACCATCTACCCTACTTCTTTTTATTGTATCTTTTAATCCCAAATCATCTAACCTATTTTTCTTCTTAGTAGTTAAAGGGTTACCATAAGAAATAGTTCTTAAGTCTTTACTCTTTAATTCTTCAACTGGAAAGTCTTATTTAGTTAATTGATTATTATGGATATAGATTCTTGAATAGAAGGACAATTCTCTATCTTTAACTTAGTAAGTTTGTTGTATGCTACTTGAACTAATTTTAAGTCAGAATAATTGTAAATAATAATCTCTTCTAATTCATTATTACCAAAATTTAATTGAGTTAAATCAGAAAAGTTCTCTATTACTACTTTACCAGTATAGCCTTGTTAAATAAAATAAAGAGTTCTAATATTTTTTTTAATACTGACTAAATTGTTAAAATCCTTTTCTTCTTGTTTAGCCTTTATTCTTAACCAATTATTTAGTCAATAAGGGTTTTCATATTTTTGGGGATTTGTCATGAAAAAGAATTACATATTTTATTATAGTTATATATATAAATATATTTTAATGCATTTATCTTAGTTTTGGACAAGTAATATCTTTGAATTTATCTCTAACAAATGGACGAATATTCTGATAAAGATATTCTTATCTTATGTAATTCAAAGGAGGTAGTGTTAACATTAAAATAGATAAAGTTCTAATTTCTTCAAAAATATTTACTTTCTTGATTTTCAATAAACTGAATTCAGCAAAAGGTTCATTAGCAACTTCTTGAACTTTCACTGTATTAAGATTAGTTGCTTCAAAAAAAAAATGTTGATATTTCTGAATACTTGGTAATTTCTTAAAATAAATTCCTAAAATAGATTTGATATCTAAGTATTGAAAACCTTTCTATCTTCATAATATTGAGCTTTATTCAATCCTGTTGGACTTGATTTTTTCACAACTTCTATAACATGATCTACACAATCTATATTTGTTTTTTTATAAAGTTTTTTAATTAATCTAAAACTACTATCACATTTGAATTTGGTATATCCAGCAATCATGAAATTCAATTCAACACTTTCATAATATCTACAAATTACCAATTATAAATAAAACCAAATTGTTACATTATTTTTATTTTAATCACCTACATTATTACAAGTAATCTTTAAATGCTTTTTACCTTTATTTAATTTTTTGATTCTATCAAAAATCATGCTAAGTGTGCTATTGGGCCTTTTTCCTATAATTTCATTTTCATTAAGAATATAATTGATTTATTCTCTTACTACTTCATCATGAATATCAAATAAATAAACTTTACATAAACTAAAATAATAGATTTTACTTACTTGTTGATCTGAATATGACACATGAACATTTTGGGCTCAATCATAATTATAATAAGCAGTGGTATCAATACTGCAATACTATGTTTTACCCTTTGAATAATGTTGATTAACTAATTTTCTTTGTTCTTCTGCTAATTTGATATTTTTATTATAATAATTTCTTTCTAATTTTGCCTTAAACAGATGTTCTTTAAATCTTTTGAGTAATTCTTTAGCTTCTTCCTCTTGGTGAATATTATAATATAAACCATTTCTAAAATGTTGACAAGTATCACACAGATTAGTCCTGAAATACATAATTTGAATTTCTGATATCAATTAATATCATAATTTTCTGAAGGCAGGCATCATATTTTAAGTATTTCAATTGTTATCTTTTTCTAAACTAATCAGAAAATCTCTGTATATAGATTTATAACTCATTTCAGCTGGTAAGAATATAATTGATTGAGTTATTCTATTGATACTTCTTCCTAGACTTAGTAATCCATGAACTTCAACATAATTTTCTAGAAAATTCTTTACTACTTTTGCAACATTTTTATCAATCACCATTTTAGTTTTCCATTAAGGCATTCTTTTAATATTATCATAAGTTCTCGGTAGAAGACCATTGTTTATCAGATGATTTCTAATATTTTCAAAATAAGTTCTACTAATTCTCAACATATTAAGATAAGTTTCCTAATAAAGAGGTGTATTGTGATCCCAGTGATAGAAAGTTCTTTTATTAGATCTGATTTTTTTTTAAGGTGTCTACTAGTACTTATTGATCCACCATCTATTGCTTTAAGTTAAGCTATTAAAAATATATCTTATTCAGACTTAAAAAGTGCTTGAAAAAATTCCCTTAATTCTGCAAATTCTTTCTTGAGAATTCTTAAAGAACAACTACATTTACAACCTTTTTCTAAAAATTAATTGCTTTTTGATATTCATTAGAAATATTATATTTACTATTACTTTTCATATACACTTATCCCTATATATATAATTTTATGTTTACTTTGTATTATTTTTATATTAATAGTTTTAAAATAATTTATTAAAAATAATTTCTTTTATTAATTTTTCTTTTCAATACAAAAGTCCTTTAAATGTTTATTTTATATATAAATAGTAGAAATAGATAATTCAGATAATTGTAAATGTTAGTGTTTCTCATATCAACTTATAAAGTTAATACTTACATACATAATGTGCAATGACATAAAAAATCATGCTTTATTTGTTTGAGGTATCACTTGCTCTTTCACAATTTTACCATCTTTCAAATATGCATACATTTGTACATCATCAAATTTTTCATTATGCCAAAAATGGACAATATAGAGTCCTTGAATTTTCTGTTCTTTAGATTGATACGTAGGATTTTCTGCCTTATTATATCTATCCTTATAAATGAAATACACAATTCAAATTGCAGTAGCAGCCAAATTGTTACTATAGGATAAAGTACAATTAAAATATTTTTCTAGATTTGATTGATTAACTGTAATCACAAGCTTTAATACAATGTTTTCTTCATTACCATTGATTACAATGTCAATATAACGATACATATAATCTCCATCCTGACTAATTTCTGTCAAGTGCTATTGTTCGATAACAGTATATAAAATAAGCCAGTTTCTCAAAATCCTTATTAATTTCCGATTATAGGTGCTTTCCCTAGGAATTTTTCTTCTACTTTTACCATTAACAGATACAGTTGCTTTCTTGAAATAACATAAAGATGCCAGATGAATAAAATCTATATCAAAGAAAGTAACAACTACTTGAAGCATCTTAAGGATACCAAGTTTCTGATATCTATCAAGAGAAATCTCACTTCGAAATGCATGTGAAAATAATTCTGAAATAATATCTATTTTGATATATATACCAACAAGGGGGATAATAATCTGAACATGTTCAAGAAACTATCAGCAGATGTCAAAACACCTTATGCTACCAATGCTGATCAGGAACTTCTGTGAATTCTACAGCATCAAAAAGGTACTGGTAAAAAAACTTTACAGTTTCTATGGAATGAGATTCTTTGAGTTTATTAATCATCTTATGAAATGTTTGGTATCCCCTTATCTCTTGTGACAATGTTTTAAGTTTAAATTTTTACCAATTTTGATAAGTAATATATTGTCTTTCATTAAAATTTTTTGGTAATAATTTTTCATCAATAACACGTCCATAAAGGCAAGTAAAGCCTACATGACTTTGATAAAATCAATAAAAGTGGTTAGTTTTTCTTAATATATATTATAAAAAGCATTATAAAGAATCACACTTACTCATTTGTTAAAGCATAGATATCTTTGATCACTAGAAGGTCAATGACAATACCTCTATTACTCATAAACTCTTCAAATAAAGCTTTGATTTGCTTAAATGGCAAATCTGGATTCTGGTATTTTTCTGTGATGTTGAAAGAGAACACATGGGAATTACTTGTATTCAAATAAAGTATACTAAATGTTTCAATGGCAACTACAGAATGGATAGGTCAATTTTGTTACTGTTTAAGAGAGCGTAATGATACTAAAAGGCTGTCTTTAATTGTTTTACTAATTAAATACGGTATATCAAATTCATCAATTAACAAAACCACAGGTTCAGACCATTTTTCAAAAAGACATAGAAATTCATCCCAAGTTTGTGAAGAATTAGACAATCCAGCAGTTCTCCTATTTGACTTCAGCAACTGGCTAATAAAAATTTTCAGAAAGAATCTGATTTTAAATCACCAGTCTCATAAGTCAATTCCTCGAAACTTGCACTATTGTCAAATAATATTACAATTATAATAAGCAAAAGGCAATATTTTAGAAATATAAATAAACATAGATCAATGAACTTAATTTAAGCAGAAATAACCTTTCTCATTTAGCTGTTCCATAATTTGAAATACACAAGATGATTTACCCAAAGTACGTGCACTATGTATCATTAAAAAAGAACCTTCAATAATTTTCTTAAGAAGTAATGAATTTCATTTAGCAGGATCAGCAAAGTATTGCACTTTTCTCTCTATTAATATTACTGCACCATTTGCCTTTCATCTTTTTGAAACCTGAAAATATGTAGAAATGTAAAAAATATAGAAAAGAGAACAAAACATTTCAAATAAAAGTTAGCATGATTTGTACCTGAAACTTTTCAAATTCCTTTTATGAATTTTAGTATATAACAAGAAATTGAAAAGTACAAGTCAATTAAAATTATAAATGATAATTCAAATATTTTAAGATAAACATATAAATAAATAAACGAAATTGAATGAACGAAAAAAATTTTTTTTACGCAATTTGTTCATTACCTTTCCCTTCTCTAAATTTAACTAGTTTCTTTTGTAAGAACTTCACCTGATCTCTCCACCTCTTCTTCTCCACTTCCAATGACCTCTCTTTCTCTTTCAGTCTCTCTAGTTGCTTCTTATCATCATTAACAAGCTGCTCTTTTCTTCTCACCTTTTCCCTCAAGTCTTCCAATTACATCCTATCATTCTCCCTTTTTTCTACTGCTTCAACTTTGCTCCTACTTTATCATAATCTCCTCTTGTTCATTCTAATTCTTGTTCAATTCCATCATACATTGCCATTTTCTTAAAAGTAAAAAAAAATGATTTAAAAATGAATTTTTTTAAAAAAAAATTTTTTTTTTATTAATTCAGATTATAATTGTTACAATTAATTATTTCTATAAATAATTTGGACCAATGATAAATTAGTAGACACATGACTTGAAATTAAAAAAAATTTTTTTACGGATAAATAAATTAAACGACAAAAGAAAATCATTTTTATTTTAATTCAACTAATAATAGAAAAATATATAAATAAACAATTTATAAAAATATAAGTTAAAGAATTATCAGAGCACTTGCATAGAAGGAAAATACTCAGACCTAAAGCTATTTTTAAGTATTACCTATTCTTTGGACATTCTGACAAAAATTCAACTTTCACTATTACTACTACTATTATTACTATTATTAATAATATTATTATTAATATTTGTATCTTTATTATCTTCTTCGTAATCTTCACTCTCCACCTTTTTCTTCTTTTCTTTGTTGACCTATTCCTGAATTGCTTCTATTATTTTACTTCTAGAATTAGTTTTTCATTGATAGAAGATTTTATTATGAAAGCAGCAACTCCTTTTCCATATCCTAGTAATTGGTGAATTTCAATGACCATTTCATTAAATGAAAAATCAGGATTCAACCCAGTATTTTTGTCAAATAATTGTTTGAAATCCTTCAATAGATTTTCTATTTCTTGTGAATATTGTTTATCACTAGTAAGTTAGTTTGTTTTATTTTTAAATTGTTTTCTTCTTGGTTCTATTTTATCAATTATTTGATCAATTTTTTGATTTATAATATGGAGTTGATTTTATAGTGAATCAAGAAACTAAGAAGAAGTCCAATTAAAAATCCATAAAAAAGTTTATTATTAAATGTAAGCATTTTTTTTAAAATGTTATTATAGATGAAAATTAAGTAAATATTTATTGATTATTTGTTTTTTTTTAAACTAAAAAATAAAATTGTTTAATGATAATTATTAGAAGGATTTGTTATTTGAATTTTTTTACCTGAAAATTAAGTGAATTGGTAATATCTTTATAATGTTCCAATATAAGATAGGATTATTTACCTTGTTTCAATGTCAATGAGAGAAAAATAAAGATTCATAAAATATATCTTTGAATGTGGTAGAATTTTTTGTTCAAAAATTCAAATAACATTTTTATTGATAAGCAATGCAATATAATGATCATTAATTACATTTTGCATAAAGGAGAATTTTTTTTTGTAATAATAATCAGTAAAAAATAAATCAATATTGTAATAATAAAATTATTTTCCTTCTAAGGATTTTTGCTTTTTATTAGGTAACAATACACCTCTACTCTGCTTTTTTTTCCTAATGTTTATTAATTTTCTTTTTTCATGGTAAATTACATAGGTAATTCTTTCTTTTTTTAGATAAACTTCTAGTATTTGAGTATCATTTATTTTGAAAATGTAAGGAGCAATTTTTTTACCTTGTTCTTTTTTAAAATACTTCTAATAGTACTATAATTCTTGAGTTTTATTGTAAATCTGATGTAAATTAGTTTCATATTAATATTTTTATATATTATTATTAGGTCTGTTTTCATTTATCCTAATGTCTAAGTTAAAAAAGGCTATGGTAGTTGATTCTACACGTTGGAGTTTTCAACTTTAGGATTTTCTCTAAGTCTTATAAGTATTCGTTATACTTGAATCAACTCAACAATTTATTACGTCTTAAAATTTAAGATATGTTAGTTAAACTCGTAATGACGAACTCAATAATGAGTTAGTGTAGTGTATCACAACAATCTTAAGTGAAGGACAATGTTGAAAGAAAAAAGTAAACTTGTATGGATTTAGATTGATTCCTTTATTTATAATACTAAAACTCATAAGTAACTTACAAATGAGTTAATTTACAACTTAAGCAA